GCATGCAAGGGAGCAGCAAGCTTGCAGTCCTTCCTTGAGGACTAGCAGCCTGACCAATCAGGACTCTGGTAGGTGAAGGGATGAAGGCCACGGCCTCTTCCAGCGGAGCTCTGTTGCCTGCACGGCTCTGCTGGAGCAGCACTATGACCACTGGCCAAGACTGTCGCTCCAGGAGCAGACAAAAGGAAACGCTTCTTCACACAGCGAATGGTTAAAATGTAGAACTCGCTGCCAGAGGATGTAGTGATGGCCACAGGCACAGACAGCTTTAAAAGGGGATTAGACAGATTCACGAAGGACCAGTCTATCAATGGCTACCAGCCATGGTGACTGAGGGGAACCTCCACAGTCAGAGACACTGAATTCCAGAGCCAGGAGTCAACCTCAGCGGAAGGCTGCAGCCTCTCTGCCCTGTTGTTGGCCCTCCAGAGGAACTGGTTGGCCACTGTGTGAGACGGGATGCTGGACTAGAGGGACCCTCACTGGTCTGATCCAGCAGGGCTCTTCTGATGTTCTGACTAGGGGAAGGCCTTAGCCTCTATGCCCAGTTGTTGGCCCTCCAGAGGAACTGGTTGGCCACTGTGTGAGATGGGAGGCTGAACTAGATGGACCCTAACTGGTCTGATCCAGCAGGGCTCTTCTTATGTTCTTCTCAGGGGAAGGCCTCGGCATCTCTGCCCTGTTTGTTTAGCTGTCCAGAGGAACTGGTTGGCCACTGTGTGAGATGGGATGCTGGACTAGAGGGACCCTCACTGGTCTGATCCAGCAGAGCTCTTCTTATGTTCTAATGAAGACCTCGGCCTCTGTGCCCTGTTTTTTTTAAACTACGGGATGCTGGACTAGGTGGACCCTCACTGGTCTGATCCAGCAGGGCTCTTCTGATGCTCTTCTCAGGGGAAGGCCTCGGCCTCCATGCCCTGTTGTTGGCCCACCAGAGGAACTGGCTGGCCATCGTGTAAGACAGGATGCTGGACTAGGTGGACCCTCACTAGTCTGATCCAGACAAGGTTCTTCTGATGTTCTTCTGAAGGTCTTGGCTTCTGTGCCCTGTTGTTGGCCTTCCAGACTGACCACTGTGTGAGACGGGATGCTGGACTAGATGGACCCTCGCTGGTCTGATCCAGCAGGGCTCTTCTGATGTTAACCTTGAAGCCTCGGTCTGTGAATCTGAGGACAGAGCCAGGGCTCGTGAGTTTCTGTGGACCGTGCGCATTCAGTCACAGTGCTTCACAGGCAAAGGACACCCACCCACCCACCCCCGCGGCCCTTGCGACTGGGAGGCCGCACCAAGCCCTCCAGCTAGCTCGCCTCGACTTCTACCTGCTCGCCAGGTCAGCTCCCATTCATTTCAAGGGGGCTATACACAGGAGGTGCTCTTGGTGGATCGAGCCCACCGCCTTCGCCTGTTCCCCACCCGATGCCTGTGCGGAAGAACAGCCAGGCCCCAAGCGCGCAGATAATATTCTCTCCCAGATGTCTTTTTCTTTTAGTTGGTTTTCGTGTGCTGAGTGGGAGGCTTTTGGCTTCTGGGAAGAACAGGGGGAGGGGGAGCAGGTTTCTATCATAAGCAGTTAACGTTTCTGATGCGCCGGCATGGGAACAGATGCCTTGCGAATGCCGTGTCCTGGACGACGGGAGAAAGCCGTTCCAATTAACGTCGGCGAGGATATAACGGCAAAGACGCGAGAGAGTCTAATCTGCTCCTCTCCCTAAGTTTCTAGGTGACTTTAATCTATTTCTGCTAAATATGGAAACCTTTTAATTAGGGGGGCTGCTCCTTTCGAGAGCCTCCCGCTAATTGAAGAGGAACTCTGAGAGTCTCCCAGCCAGTCTTCTAACAATGAACAAGGAAGCCAAATATGCCCTCAATTATATTCAAACCCCTTGGGGACCCCTCCCAGTCCACAGCTGGAAACGACTAGATTATCAACCGTTATGTGTCATTTATCGGTCCTAATAAAAGGGTTTAAGTGGCTTGCATTCTGGTTTCCCCCCCCCCCTTTTTAATGGCTCTTTTAGACCGGCACAACTGAATATAACTTCTTTCGGCTTTTCTGGATTACTGACAGCCAGTGTGGGGGATCATTCCCTGACTGCGTGCAATTTTATTAATTTATTTAAACATTTATATCCCTCCTTTCCTCGTGTGCGAAGGCGACTTACAATAACAGTTAAAAACACATCTGAAGAAGTGTCCGTGTTGGTCTGAAGCAGCTATGAGTCCAGGGCAGTGTTCCCTCTAAGCCGAGTTAGTGTGAGCTAACTCACAGTTTTTTAGCCTCCGGCTCACACTTTTCCATCTTAGCTCAGGAAGGAGGACTCCAGAGCACATTAATTTATGCAGCAGCCCAATTGCTCGCTCACAACTTTAATGACTGCAGCTCACAAAGTAGAATTTTTGCTCACAAGACTCCACAGCTTAGAGGGAGCATTGGTCCAGGGGCACCTTTATTAATTAAGTTATTTATTTATTTGGGGCAGCCAACAAGGCCATTTGGCTTCAGAAATAATAAAACAATAAAACCGTTCAAACAAATTAAAAAACAGTTCAAATCATTTAAAATACAACTATCCATGAGATGGCAAAGTTGTCGGATCGGCCACCATAAGAGAAAACGGTCACTGGCATCTAGTTCTTTTGCGTTTTGTTCTATAGTATCGTTCAAGAAAGACCAAGGAAGTTTGATTCTGGGTATCACCTTTCGTGGGCACGCACTGGACTCAAACTTAGTTAAAAACATTTTGGAAGAAGAAGAAGAGATGAGACTGGATTTATTCCCCGCCCTTCACTCGGAGACTCAGAGCAGCTTACAAACGCCTTTCCCTTCCCCTCCCCACAACAGGCACCCTGTGAGGTAGGTAGGGCTCAGAGAGCTCTAAGAGAATAATGGCTTGCCCAAGGTCATCCAGCAGCTGCAAGTGGAGGAGTGGGGGAATCAAACCCGGTTCTCCCAGAGTAGAGTCCGCACACTTGACTGCTACACCAAACTGGCTCTCAGTTTAAAACCAAAAATAAAACAGCGAACCCCCAAACCTCCCCCGTCCTTCCACCCTTAAAAGATCCCTGCCAATTCAAACTCCCTCAAACAGGCAGGCCTTGCAGTGCTGCCGGAAGCCCTCCAAGGAGGGAACCCCCTTTGCCTCTTCAGGGAGCCCCTTCCACAGAGCCGGAGCCACGATGGAAAAGACCCTGGCTCCGGTCAGCCCCGGACGGGCCACCCGGAACGGTCAGGTCGCCAACAGAGGGCGGACGAATAGCCATTGCTGGCTCACAGGGACATGTGGACGGAGAAAGCCCTTCAAATATGAAGCATGGAAGCATGAATTTCAGAGCACGGAAGGCACCTGAGAGAAGAGCCCCCCTCCCGACACAGAACGAAGGCTCCGTCCAGCTGCAAAACCACATTCCCGGCTCCCTCCCCAACTTCAGCCATCCTCCCGAGCTGCGGCCACGCCCTGCCGACACCCCCACAGACACAACCACAGAGTCAGCCATCGCCTGACAGCCAGCCAGCCTCAGAACTTGAATGAACACCCCCAATTGATGCTCCCTCGCATGCTTCCAGGGCCGGCTCACCCACTAGGCGAACTAGGCATTCGCCTAGAGTGCTGGGCCCTGGATGGGGCGCCAAGCTGTGCCTCCCCCCCCCGCCAAAAGCCCGCGGGCAGCTCTCCAAGTGTCAGCGTTTCACTAATTGGGGAGAAGCATCCGGTGAGCATCCCCCGCCTGGAGACAGGATCCCCCCCCACCTCCCTCCCAAACTGCCTTCGGAAGCGGAGCACGAGAGAAATCTCTCTTCCATCTTGGAGAGCGCTGCAGGAACATGTGGGGCATGCTCACTGAGTCTGACAGCTGCGGAGGGGGAGGAGGCGGTTGCGGCGGTAGCAAAAGGGTGGCTGGCTCCAGAGATCTTCAGGCCCCACCGAGAGGTTGGCATCTGCGCCACAAGGCAGCCTCGCGTAGGGCGCAGAAACACCTCGAGCTGGCCCTGCATGCTTCCACTGACCCAGTGGTGGAGGTTCGTTCAAACAGCTTGACGGTTAACACTGCATGAGCCACAGAACACAGCCTGAGTCCAGGGGCACCTTTAAGACATGCGTGCGCACGAAAGCTTATACCCAGAATGAAACTTTGTTGGTCTTAAAGATGCCCCTGGACTCAAACTTTGGCCCCAGTCACACGGGCCAGGTAACGCAGGGGGGAGGCATGGCTATTTGCCCTGGAGCAAAATAAAGCGCGGCAACCCGATCACACGGTCCCCCGAGTCTCTGCGCTTCGGCTGTCAGCTGGCGATTACACGGCGAAGCTGCAGCATGGCAAAGAAGCAGTGCAGTGCGGCACGATCACACAAGCGTTTTGCATTTCTGCACATGTGCACTGCTTTCACTGTCATGTTTGTGATGTGCTTACGAAAAACATCTGGTTTGCGATGGGACATGGACAGGCGCCAGATGCCACGGGATACTAGCGCTCCCGCGATCAGACGCCCGCCTGTGCCGCGCGTTTTCCGGATACTAGTGCACTTTCCTTGGTACTTTTTAACTTTGCATCTTCGGCGGGATGCTACGGGTTGGCCACGGGTGCGCTACCCTTCCCAGATGTTGTGGTGTGATCGCACCCCGAAAATCTGCCCAACATTCGTGCCATTTGCGTGGCAAATTCTCCGTGTGACCGGGGCCTTTGTTTTGTTACCTCAGCCCAGCACGGTGACCCAAACCTGAATCTATCTTCATGGACTGCACGAGTCAGACTTTCAGGCTGAACTTTAAAATTCACACCAGCATCTTAAGGCAATGTCTGTCCGCACCGTCATTTGCGAGAGAAGGAAGGGAAGGTTTATATTTTCTTGATCCTGGCCGCGTTTTCCACATTCTCGGCCCGGGGCCACTGTTGCCATCGGCCAGAGAACGGCCGAGCAAGCAAGGACAGTTTCTCCCGGGCCGCTGGAACGAACAAAGGTCTCTCCCGAGAACAACCGACCAGACAAAGAGCCACTTACTTGTTCCAGCGGAATGACGAGGAAGGAGCCCCCGCCAGCGCTCTCCGTTACTATGGCGATGAATTTGGTGTTGACCGCGCAGAAGTGGTTGTCATGGACGTTCTTGGTGATCGCGATCCCGTCGAAGCAGTGCTCCCGGTTGGCCACTTTGCCGTAGACGTTCCGGAACTTGGAGCTGCGATACTGCGGCCGCCATGACATCTGCGGAGCAAACGGACGGAGACGCTCAGCCAACTTCTACAGCAAAGGAGTTCTGGAATCCCCCCCCCCAGAAGACCCCCCCCAAAAAAAAAACCGAACAGAAGAACAAGGCCTAGCTAATCCAGTTTGGTGTCGTGGTGAAGTGCGCGGACTCTAATCTGGGAGAATGGGGTTTGATTCCCCACGCCTCCACTTGCAGCTGCTGGATGACCTTGGGCAAGCCACAGTTTTCTCAGAGCTGTTCTCTCAAGGACAGTTCTGGAAAGAGCTCTCTCAGCCCCGCCTACCTCACAGGGTGCCTGTTGTGGGGAGGGGAGGGAAAGGAGTTTGTAAGCTGCTCTGAGACTCTAAGTGAAGGGCGGGGTATAAATCCAGTCTCGTCTTCTCTTCTCTAATCCAGCATCCTGAACCTAGCATCGGCCAGCTTGATGCTGAGGGAAACCCATGAGAGCCAGTGTAGTGTAGTGGTTAAGAAAGTCAGACTAGTATCTGGGAGACCTGGGTTCGAATTCCCACTTGTGCCCCGGAAGCTCCCTGGGTGACTTTATGACAGTCACGCTCTCTCAGCCTAAACTACCTCACAGGGTCATCGTGAGGATAAAAAGGGAGAGGAGAGTGATGTAAGCCAATCTGGGTTCCCACAGGGAAGAAAGGCGGGGTATAAATGAATTAAATTAATCATTTTTTTAAAAAATTAAAACTGGATCACCAAGGCCTGGTCTTTTTGGACCTAGCCTGCTGTCGTGGTTATGAGCGGCGGACTCTAATCTGGAGAACCGGGTTCGAATTCCCAGAGGGAACTCCTGTCCAACTAGTATCTGGGAGACTCAGGTTCGAATCCCCACTCGTGCCACAGATGCTCGCCGGGTGGGTGACCTTGGGCCAGTCACACGCTCTCAGACCAGCCCTACCTGACAGAGTTGTTGTGAGGACAGACTGGGGGAGAGGAGAAGGATGTAAGCCACCTCTGGTCCTCTTTGGGGAGAAAGGCGGGATATAATCGGAGTTAAATAGAACAAAGAGAAGGCTCGGCACGCCCGGCGGGAGAGGGGGCTACTGTCCATGCATGGGGCCCTCTTGAACTCACATCCTCACTCGTGCCACAGAAGCTCACTGGGTGGGTGACCTTGAGCCAGTCACACGCTCTCAGACCAGCCCTACCTGACAGAGTTGTTGTGAGGATAGACTGGAGGAGAGGAGAAGGATGTAAGCCACTTTTGGTCCTCTTGAAAGGCAGGATATAATTGGAGTTAAATAAAACAAAGAGAAGGCTCGGCACGGCCGGTGGGAGAGGGGGCTACCGTCCATGCACTCTTGAACTCACAGCCCGAACAAAGCAAAATTAAGACAAAATATAAACAGCATAGATATGTTCCATTGCCTCCTGCTGCCATCAGCGCTCACAAGAGTGGAGAACTCCCTACAGTAGAGAACTCTGTATCAGTTTGAAACAGCAAAAGAGGCTCCGTGTCAGTTTCTTCTTAACAGCACACACGCAGGCTAGAGAAGCTTCATTGTGTTTGTAAGCCTCGCGCCCTCTGCTAACTTCAGGGACCCACAAACCCCATCGTTTTTAACTGGAGATGCTGGGGATTGAACCTGGGACTTTCTGCATGCCAAGCGGAGGCTCTGCCACTGAGCCCCATCCCTGGTGTGAATCAGACAGCGGGAGACATATGGAAGGACATACCCCGCCCCCCCCGCCCCCCGCTTTGCTCTGCTGTCTTCACCTTCAGGAACTAATTTTCCTCTGCACTTCCTTGCGGTAAGCTGCCTTGCCGATCGTGAAGGCGGATCAGCGGAGAAACGGCATTTGAAATCAGTGTTCCCTCTAAGCCAGGGCCGGCTCACTCACTAGGCGAACTAGGCGATCGCCTAGAGCGGGCCGGCCCTTAGGGGCGCCAAACTGCACCCAGCCCCGTACTCTGAGAATTTCTTGATTATTTGTGTTTTTCATTCTTCCAAAAATGCATTTATTTTTGAAAAATGGTGGGCGCAGGGGGGGAGGGCGCCAGAAGGGACCTCGCCTAGGGTGCAGAATAAGCTGGGGCCGGCCCTGCTCTAAGCTGAGTTAGTGTGAGCCAGCTCACAGTTTTTTTAGCCTCCGGCTCACACCTTTTTGCCTCAGCTCAGGAAGGAGGGCTCCAGAGCAAACTCATTGATGCAGCAGCCAAATCGCTCGCTCACATCTTTAATGCCAGGAGCTCACAAAGTAGAATTTTGGCTCACAGGGCTCCATAGCTTAGAGGGAGCATTGTTTGTTTGAAATATATACATAATGCAGGCCCTGTTCAATAAAGGGAGTCGATGCACCTTTCCTCCCCCCCACCACAGAACATTAGGATGCTCCCGTTGCGAAGGCTGCATTTGAATCTCAATCATTCTTTTTGAGAGAAAGAGAGAGAATCGCAACCCCCCAGCCGGACTCTCTACGAAACGCCCATTCTACAGAGCGGATGGATGCCGGCCATAAGAAACCCATGTGGACATTTGCAGCGCACAACAGGGCTGGCGGGGGAAGCGGGCTGGAGGGGAGGCGGAGGGGGCTGCCCCCCTCACCTCCCCCCCACATTTCCTGTAAACAACTCAAATCCTTCCCTTCCTGGGAAATGCAAAATGCAAGTGAGCCCTGCTGAGATGGGGCTGCTCCGTGGGGCAGGCCCAGCAGGAGCTGAAGGCAGAGTGGGGGTGGGGGTGGTGGGAAGGGGTGGTCTTTGCCGGGGTCTCCTTCCCCAGATGAATGGCTCCATTAGAAGCCAAGAGGAAGAAAGTTCACCCCAGTGTCAGGCGACTGGCTCGAGACAGAGAGACTCTCACACGGGGAGGGAGCCCTTCCTGGGGTTTCCTGGGGGGGGGCAAGTGAGTCACGATTGATTCCTACATGCAAGAAAGACCAAGAGGAACAAAGGACCCTCCCTCCCCGTGACCGGGCGCGGAACCTCCTTTGGGTGCCACGTTTGCATTCCGCTTGGGGTGCGCAACTCAGCAGCCTCGCAGAAGAATCCCGAACGATTTTTCAGGAGAACAACTTTAGAGTCCTTTCGCTCTCCATTCCCTCGCATTGGAAAAGTCAGACGTAGGTCAGTTTCTTGTCGTTTTCCCATACGCAAACGGGGCTTCTGGGTTCTACATTTTTGTGTCCAGAGATTGCAGTGATGCTCAGGTCACCAGCCTCCAGGTGGGACCTGGAGATCCCCCGGAATTACAATTCATCTCCAGATGACAGAGGTCAGGTCCGCTGGAGAAAATGGGGAACCTTTGGAGGGCGGACTCTCCGGCATTCCACCCTGCCGAGGTCCCTGCCCTCCTCCAACCCCGCCCTCCTCAGTCTCCACCCCAGTTCTCCAGGAATTTCCTAACCTGGGACCGGCAACTCATCAAGCCACTATGAAATGGCAGAAGTGGGAAGTGAGTAAACTTTCCCTTTACACACCATGCCCCCCCCCATTAATCCGCCTAATCCCCTTTTAATGCTATCTTCGCACATGGCCACTACTACATCCAAGTGGCAGTGAATTCCACGATCTCATGAGTCTTGGGGCACTTTCACAGACTAAATAACAACACTTTCAATCCACTTTGCAACTGGGTTTTGCTGTGTGGAATGGCCAAATCCACTTGCCAGCAGTTGCTGAAGTGGATTGAAACGGCATTATTCAGCATGTGTGAAAGCGCTACTGGAAGAAGAAGAAAAATCTGCTTTATTCCTGAAACAACATAGATCAAGCATTCCACACTCATGGGTTCGCAGGAGACTCTTGGCCCCTTCCACCTCCACGGCTGAGCCCTGGTGGCGCCTACTTTCACGGAATATTCATTCTTCTGCATATGCAGAAAAGTAGCTGTTGATTTCTCCACCAGCCTTTTGAAGGGGCCGGCAAGAAAAGAAAATACACCTGGGGTCTACTCTTCCATTAACTTGTCAATTTTACTGACGAGGCAACAGTGGAAGATTCAGTAGAATTAACAATTGCTAGAAGCACAGCCCATTCAAAGACATTTTCAGTATTTATTATTCAAACGCACGCCACCAATATACATTATTTCTGCTCACAAACGGCTAGCTTCACGCCAATGATCCTCAATCGTGGTTCTGCTTATCACAGGGACTTGCTGGCTCCAGGCTCACAGTGCGCCATAGATTCAGGTGGGGTCACCCTGCTGGTCTGAATCAGCAGAACGAAGTTTGAGTCCAAGGGCCCCTTTAAGACCAATAAAATTTTATTCAAGGTATAAGCTTTTGTGCACATGAAAGTTTATGCCCAGAATAAAAGTTTGTTGGTCTTAAAGGTGTCACTGGACTCAAATGGTGTACCATAGAATCCAGGAGAAATGGAAGTCTTAGAGTGGCGGCATCACGTTCCCACCAAAGCTTCTTGACATAGAATCATAGAATGTTAGAGTTGGAAGGGACCTTGCAGGTCATCTAGTCCAACCCCCTGCACTCTGCAGGAGCACAGCCGAAAGATAGCCCTACAACATACCCGAAAGAGGGTCATCCAGCCTCCGCTTGAAGACATCCAGCGAAGGAGCATCCGCCACCTCCCGAAGCAGTCTGTTCCACTGCTCAACCACTCTTACAGTTAGGAAGTTTCTCCTGATATTTAGCCGGTAACGACTCCCTTTTAGTTTCCACCCATTAGATCTAGTCTTGCAGTCCGGAGCAAGAGAGAATACATCCGCTCCATCTTCTACATGACAGCCCTTCAGATACTTGAAGACTGTAATCATGTCCCCTCTAAGCCTTCTCTTTCCCAGGCTAAACAGACCCAACTCTTTCAGCCTTTCCTCGTAAACCAAAACTGGACACAGTCCTCCAGGTGAGGCTGACCATAGCAGAATAGCAGCGGAACGACCACCTCCCGTGATCTGGACACAATGCTTCTGTTCATGCATCCTAAGATTGCATTAGCTTTCTTCGCAGCCACATCGCACTGCAGGCTCCTGTTTAGCTTGTGATCAACCAGAGCACCTAGACCCCTTTCACAGGTGCTGCTGTC